GATATGACGTTATGTCAACCGACCGTTAAAACGGAACAGTTGTTGTAAATTTTAAGTGCGTCTTTGATTGATGGTCAGAATAGATGTTTGAGAGAATAAAAAAAATATAGTGTTTTGCCTAGTTAATATGTGTTGAATCTCGATGAGTTGACACGTTCATCCACGCAGCGTCCTAACTTAATGCTGCTAAATTAAGGATCTGCATTCAACATCATCACCAAAATCATCATTCTCATCAGTACGTCATTTGTAACAATTATAACAAAATAATGTATTACGACACCTTATTTCTTTTTTTTTAAATGTTTTAATGCATACTTCCATCACGACATTTGTACAAAATTACAAAAAACACGATGATATTAAGTCTCAATGCTTAATAGTTTCCTATGTAATAATATATATTTGCGATTAGCCTTTTACTACAAATAAACCAAGTAACTTCAGATTTACTTTAAAAATAATTTGTAGCTAACGTATTACGGTAATGATCGTTAATGAGACCGATGACGTCGTTGACCTATCCTATGTTTTCAACAGACCCATTACGTCATGCGTTCCTACGTTTGCCTAAGATCTGTAACGATGACGTTATCGATACCGAGCTAAACTCTACAAAATAGGTACTCTCGTTGTATTCGGTCGGCAGTTACAGCATTATGTGTCCTTGAGATTCTAGAATTCTTTTGAATGAAAGTCCAAAAAATATAAACACATTTAGGCGTGATTTCCATTTTCTTAGTTTTATTTTTATTAATTCTAAAATCAGAAAATTAACACAAAAGTGGTTCAACATTTGAAAACTTTCGTCCCCTCCTCAACTTCGCATCTCCTCAGTCGCTGCTCGATCCTTGCCCTGCACACGTAGCACTTCGTGGTGAGGTTCGCACAAGTCTCGCACGACATCATGTGATTGCACGGTTTCGTCAGTATGGATACGGGAGCCTCGCAGCATATGCAACAGGTGTTCTCCTCGGACAATTCCTCCCTAGGTATGCAGAGAATCTTGTCCATAGCTTCGCTCACTTTCTTATATTGTTCACGCCACTCGTTCACGTTCGACATACCTTTTCGGTATTCCATCAACGCCTTGATCGAGTTCATCACACTTTCCCCTTCCGCTCCTTCCTTCGTCTGGTGATGTTTACATTTTCGCAAACGTATGTCGACGCGAGCAGCTTGCAAACACATATCCTTTACTTCACCGGTCACCCGATTGACACGATCTGCAAGACACGCCTTATGCGACTTACGTCCTCGTGTATTCAGCATTTTGTTATCTTCCAACTTACGTCTGCATTTAGATAAGGTTGCTGTCAGTTCGTCGGCACGACGAAGGACGAAGTCGGCAGACAAGACCTGGTAAATAACTGTCTCTTATACACATCTAGATGTGTATAAGAGACAGCTCGTATGTCTACATGCATCGGTACACCATCCACCGTTATTGCAAGAATTGACACCATCTCTGTTGTCTCGATCGGATACTCGTGACATCCGAAAACATAATGATGAAATTGTGCGAGAATATATATATCCTTTCGAGTCGTTACGTCATCTGTCTGCGAAACCGACCATCACGTCATCGGTTTCGAACGAAGGTGGGAGGCCAACGAGTCATGACGTCATGTGGGACCCGATCGCACACGTGAATATTATAAATTAGATGACGTTAAGGATTTCTGAGGCCGATGACGTTATGGTCTCTCGATCG